CGGCGCACGTCGTTGTTGCTATTGTTTTTTACCGTAGTCCGTTGGCGCAGCTCATATGAGTTCATTGCTTTAGAGAAGTTTGGGGGCGCCATACCAAAAGGCAAACGCCCGTAGCTCACAAAGAGGCAGGCCAGCTGCTTTATGCGATCCGGGGCATAGCAGGGGAATTATCCGCAAGGCGGCGGCGCACTGCTTGGGGACTGCCGCATTAAGCAACAACGGAGGAGCGAGGCCCAAGTTGAGGTGGTTCAGAGTGCGAGGTAACACCGCAGGTCTTGCAGCAGCGCGCGGGGAATTAACCGTCTCCGTTGCGCCCCGCTTTGTGAACCATGTGGGGCAGCTGCGCCGCCGTGGTGCGCAAACTGTGGCGCGCATGCTGGTGGGGGCGCGGCATCCATACCCAAAGCAGTCTCTTTAGTCGGTATCATGTTCCCAGCAACCTCGCTGACAATGGGGGTGGGGCTGGTGGGTCGGTGCGGCTCTAACTCCTTGGGCGGCTTTCCAGGTTTCAAGAGTGGGGCGATAGCGCCACGACTCCGCTCGACCAAAATTACACCAGTCATCGAACCGTGTTGGGTCTAGAGGATAAGCAACCAGATGCCTTTCGCCAAGAGGTGCCCTAGCGCCCCAACACACACGTCGTCTGGTGCAGGGGTTTTGCCCTACAGTTTGATCCCCAACGCGGCAAGCGGGAGTTTTGGCATGCCAAAGAGAGTGTCTCGAGAAGATGGGGGCGATCCATCGTGGAGTCGGCGGTTGGCTCTTCGTTGCTTTGCGGCCTGGGTGGGGCGTGCGGAGCAACTCCCAGAGACTCTTGCTGTCGGTCTCGTCGTGCAGAAAGCTCTTGTTGGTTTGCGAGATGGATAAAGGGAGGGAGAAATCTGCAATTGAGAGCATTTGCTGCTCGCTGTGCTCTCCTAAAAGTGCGTTGCCCACCGCCCGTCAGCGCAGATGCGGGGTGTGGTTGGGATGCCGCCTTGCGTCCAGATGCGTATTTCCAGGCCAATGCTTCGCCTGTGGCTGACTCGCGGTTGCGCCTGAAATGTGTAGTGCGCAATGGCTCCCAGAAAAAAAGGATGAACTGATTCCTTGTCCGTTGCGTTTCTGCTTTGCGGTCGGGCGATCGCGAGTGCAGGTGGTGGCGGACCTTGCTCTCGGTAGCAAAATGCGCTCTGCCTCCGTGGGGGCGCGGTCCCAGAACTTCGGGCCATTTTCGTGCACGCCGCGAGGGCAATGCTTAAGGGGGGAAATTCTACGCACCTTTGTGGGGGCCTTAGCGCCGGATGCCGACGTTTTACAATAGTATGCTTGAAGCTGTTAACTCAGGAGTTTCATTTACACTTCCCAGGCTGTAGAAAATGCGGTGCAGACGAGGACCCCCCGCGCCATCAAACTTGCAGGTTTTGCTTGCGTCACGGGTTGGTGGGTAGGGTGGGTAGCACTACGTTGGAGCACCGCGGGGGGCGGCTTAGTTCCACGCCCCATGGTAGCCGTAGGTTGTGGCGTCGCGCGCCGCATGGAGTTCGCAAGAAGAAAGCGCAGTACCGGCAAGCGGCGGTGTAAATAAGGAACGGGGAAAAAAACCTCACACCAGGAGCCTCCCAGCCCTCTGGAAACAACAGCCTATGTACCCGTGACTGCCGAGCCAGCCAGCCACAACAAGACCCTCAACCCGCCGCCCCATCATTTCTAGCCCGTCGAAATGGCGCACTGGAGGCGCGACTCGGCGTGGGTGCGTCGGCGGCCAACGAGTCACCTTAACTATAATTCTTGTGGTGGGCCGGCGGCCCGCTGCTAGGTGTTTTTGTTCGTTTCCATCCCCGAAACTGACGGCCCCGGTGACTCTCGCTCCCTGCG